TGTGTGTGTGTGTATATATATATATATATATATATATATATATATATATATATATATATATATATATATATATATATATATATATATATATATATATATATATATATAACAAAACCACAATAATTTATTCTAAAATGATTTTTTTGAAACAAATGCGCAAATATATTTTTCATCAACTGTTCAGCAAAAAATTACATCCCTCCCTCAATGGCATCCTTCCTACTCCCTCTTCCTACCTATTGTATTTTGGGTTTACAAAAGTATAACTTGATACTTAATATAATCAATGCTATCAACTATATTCTCACTCTTCCCTCCATGGATTATATTGTTTCTGGCCTTCCAAATAGCATAAAGACATGCCGCCAACATAGCTGCTTTTAGCTTCCTCTCCCTCCATGGATTATATTGTTTCTGGCCTTCTAAAATGAATTTATTATTATTAATTTATATCATAATTATTTAATGTATTTTTTATATAATTTGTAGTTAAGGTTTAAAAATATTGACCATGAAAAGTCAAATGTGAAGAATCAAAGTAGACAAAGAAAATATATCAATTAAAAATGCACTTTGACCATTAAAAATTACCTCCTGTGTTATCTAAAAAATTCACTAGCTTAATTTTTTTGGTCAATTGTGAACACACTTTGATCATTAATATGTATAATTTAATTAGTAAATGCTACTCTGTATAAAATGTTGATATATAAAAATTATATCTTAAAATAAACAAATCATATTATATTTTAAGGGTGGGCGCGGTGCGTGACGGTCCGTGATACTACCGGAACGCTCCCCTGAACTATTTCTTCCGACGTCCTCGCAAATCCCTAATCTTATCAAAGGTGAATTCTTGGGTCCCACTGAACTAGTAACCGGTGTAACCGTTCCGGATCAACTATCAGGCAAAGACGATAGCAGTAGCAAAACTTGAACTTCATCATCGAAGTTAATCTTCACTGACGCAAGTCTGGTTAAGATCGAATTCATCTTATTGATATGCTCGGTAACAGAAGTGCTTTCTTTCATCCTTGTGCTCACCAGCTCTCTGATTAGAAAAACTTTGTTTGCCGCAGATGGCTTCTCGTACATGTTAGACAACGCTTCCATAATTTCCTTCGTTGTCTTCTCTTTCAGAATGTTGAACTGAACATTCTTGGCCAACGAGAGACGGATCACGGACATAGCTTTTCGATCCAAAACTGCCCAATCTGCACCCAACATCTTTTTCTGGCTTGTCACCTAATACCACGTCCAAATCTTTCTGAACCAGCAAATCTTCAATTTGCATCTTCCGCCAACTGAAATCTGTACCATCAAACTTCTCAATTCGGAACTTTCCATCTTCTGTCATATCAAACGACTAGACGAGATACCCGGTACAAAAAAATTTCAGATCTTGGATTTTGTCAGAAAAATCAAGTCCACTGCTCCAAATAAACCAATCCAAATTAAAACCACAAGCTAGGCCCAAACCAAAACAAGCCCAAAAAAAGTGGCTGACCAATTAAAATCAAATTGGCCCACTGCCTACTTTTCGTTTCTTCGGATTCGGTCCAGCCAAGTAAAGCCCGTTCACTTTTTGCACCTGCCAATCAACCCTTTTTTCAATCGGCGGCGCCTGAAGTATTTTGCTTGGCAATACCAGACGGTGGCAGCAAGCAATCGGCGGTTGTGCTTTCGCGGGACGACGGCGGCTTGGTCCTCTGTGCACAGTGCGACAGGCGACGGTGACACGATCCGGACGGGGGCGGCAGGACGGCGACAACTCCTCAGAGCGACTATCCCTCAGCGGCTCAGACCTGCGCGCGGCTATCGGCGGCGGCGAGTTCAATCTCGGATGCTGCGACGACGGCTCCAACCCTAGATGACAAGTTTTCTCCTAATTTGTGCTCGTGTTGAACAATCTAGCTCCGATCTCACCCTAAGATTTGAGTCATTGAGGAATTATTTTCATAGCAATATGCCATTTGGGGTGGGGGGGGGGGGGGGGGGGNGGGGGGATGAAGACAATCTCATCAATATGCCATTTTAAAAGGAATTTGAAATTTTGGAAATGTTTTTAGTCTTATTATGCATGCACGACTCTATCTTTTGATTCTTTTCTGATTGAGGTTTAATGTATGTGTTGTGTGATTTTTTCTATAGTGGTTTGACGTTAAATTCGTGAAGAATGAAAGCAATTATTAAGAAAACAATGAGCCCCCAATTATTTGCTTCAACATTCCCTAATTAGTTTTGTGGGCGGATGTTATTTTAGGCTAGTTTTTCACCAATAAAGGAAAATCAATACATGATACACTATATCTTTGTTTCTCGGAGTGAAGTCTTAGGGGTGTTTGTTTTTTCTGCAGGAAAAGGTCTGCGGTCTGCGGACCACTACTGTAGATATCTGCAGGAGAAGTGGTGGACCGAAGGTCTGCGGTCTGCAAGAAGAAGACTGTTTGTTTTTTTAATGTCTATAGACTGCTATATAAATTAATGGTGGTAGTGTACGGTGGTGGTGTATGGACGATTGTGGTGGTGGTGGAGGGTGGTGGTGGACGTTGACGGCGGTGGTGGTGGTGGCGGTGGATGGTGGCGGTGGTGGTGGACGACGATGGTGATGGACGGTGACGGTAAATTTGAGGTTTGTTGATTTACCTTCTTAAATCAAATTTTAATCAAATTTTGGGAAAAAATTAGTTGATTTACCTTCTTAAATCAAATTTTAATTATTAGAAAAGAAAATATACATTCTTAAAAAAATCATGGGGAGGTAAATTTGAGGTTTGTTGCCTTTGTTTCTTCTTGATTACATTTTTAAATTTAAAGATTTTATAAAAATAGAACTAATTTATTGGGAAAAAAAATTAGAATGTCAGTTTTGAAATAGTTAAATACTCGTATACATTATGTCTAATTACACATGTAAAACTATAAATACCCGAATAGAAAAAACTTAAAAATACAGAGTGCAAAATTAAAAAACAAAGTATCCTTTTTTTATTAATTCTTGACTCGTTAAGTTTTACAATGACAAAGATATAAATTAATAATTTATAATAATACATTCAAGCAAAAATTCAATAACTAAAGTAATTGATGAAATAAATTTAAAAGGTGGGAAAAATTGATATACCTCCCCAAATGAAGAAGATAAAGATATCTTGGAATGACTTATGACTAGTCTATTCTACACATCTCATCATACTCTTTTATAAAGTAAGGGCAAAATTAGAAAATAACACCAAAATTACTCATTTTAAGGGCGCGCCTTTTTTGAAACAGGAAATGTTTTATGGGACAAAGGGAGTGTAATAAAATCTTAAAAAAATACTATTTATTGACTTTAAGTTGTATTTATATAACGAGATTAAAAGAAGACAAAATTTAATAAATTTATTACTAGAGTACATATAACAATTTATTCATAAAAAGAAGAAGCCAAAACACAATCAATGACTAACTTATTTGTAAAATTTAATAATACATAAACTCAGACATAATTGAAATTCATGAGATAGCTATTCCTCGTTGCGATGTCTCCGTCGTCGATGGTCCATGTTATTCGGATAGCGGGTTCTCGTAGGTCGGCCGGTTCGTGTGGTCTATCGTGGCGTTGGCCTCAGGATCTCGTACTCTGGCGTTGGCCTCAGGATCTCGTTGCGATGTCTCTGTGATAATGAGTTTGACTTTATAGTCAGCATCTTCTTGAATTTTTGAACCTATCAGGGTACTTATGAGATCACTTGTTAACAATTTGTCGTCTTCGGCTCTTGTGTAATCTGGTCTGCATTGGTGGTACCTCTGGTATTATTTTATGGTCCACAGAGTTGTCCCTGCATTCTCTGCGGCTTGGATGAACCAAGTGCACTTGGGGGTATATACACAACTAGCTCTCCAATAACGACTCCGTTTTGCATCTGTGCGAAAGTGTCTATGCTCTGCAATGTTGCGTAAGGACACTGCTTGTTGTAACCTTTGAAAAGAAGGATAGATATTACCAACCTCAATAATTGGTACGTGGAACGTCGGTTGCAAAGATCTACATGTTCCACATCTCTGGATGAGTCTGAATGGCCTACTCGAGAATACGAGATAGCAAGACTAACGTCGCGACAGAGCACACGAACCGGCCAACCTACGAGAACCCGCTATCTGAATAACATGGACTATTTACCACAGAGACGTCGCAACGATGAATAACTATGTCATGAATTTAAGTGATGTTTGAGTTTATGTATTATTAAATTTACCAAATAAGTTTGTCATAGATTGTGTTTTGTAATCTTCTTTTTAGGAATAAATTATATGTACTCTATCAATGAATTTCATATATTTTTTCTTATTTTAATTTCGTTGTATAAAACTTACTTAAAGTCAATAAATAGTAGTTTTATTATAGTATATTTTATTTAATGGTAAAGAAAATTATCAAAAAAAATTATGAACAAAAATATTTTAATGATAAAGAAAAATATTTTATTTTTAAATTTTATAATTTATTTATAAGTAACAAAAAAAATTTGAACAAAAAAGGGAAGGTGATTTCAAATGATAAAGAAAACTATATAAAAAAAGCTAAACGGATTAGCCAACTCTGTTGGCAAAATAATTGGTAAACAAAATAAAAAATAGTGAAACGAATTTGCCAACTCCGTTTGGCAATTAAATCAAGCAAACGGGTTAGGCTACTCCGTTTTATTTAAAATTTTTGAATAGAAACGGAGTAGCCAAATCCGTATTGCACTCTCAGGAAAAAAATGTCTGACTTACACTGTCAGGAATGAATTATTAATTTTTTACATATGTTCGTCATTTCCTCTTAGCAGTGAAGGTTTATTTATTTATTTTTTTGGTTGAGTTCATATGCTCTTTGTTTGTTTTCAATACTACACTCACGCTCCGTTTTGTACGTGGAATTCAAAGTATGGAATTGGAATTGAGGACTTCAATTCCAATTCTGGTGTTTGATAGCATAAAACTTATGTGGATTTGAAATTGATTGTGCAAAAAATGAATTCGAATTGGTAGAATTCAATTCTATGGAATTAAATCTCATAGATTTTCAATTCCAATTCCGTCAATTCCGTATACCAAACGGGCCCTCAATAAGGAACTTTTTAAAACTCCATGTTCCAATGTTATTAAGTTTGCCTTCACTAAAATTACAAAAACTTTTTTGATTCTTTTGTTTGTTGGTTTTTTAAAATTTGCCTTCACTATGTTTTGAACGAATGAAAGGATGCTAAAAGCTATTTTTATTAAAGCATATTTTAAAGGTCAGTGGGTTAACTTTTTCCAATTACTTTTACCTCATGAATCCTCTGTAATTAAACTAAAAATATAGTTTATGTTAAATATATTGTATATATTTAATATTACCAATTGTATATGCTGTTTCCTTTTGTATTCTCCTACCGGAGTAGTACTAGCCTCTAGTATATATTGATGTAATGCCCTATTATTGAATTAAGGAAAAGTCCAATTCTTCATAGTATCAGAGCTATCCAACCCTAGCCGACCCTCCCTTTCTCTCTTGCCTCGTCGTTCTCTCTCTGCGCACAAGGCCAACAGCGACTGCCAGCAACCAAGCAACAATTGTCTTCCCCCTCTCTCTCTCTGCGGTAGGGCTCGTCTTCCCCCTTGTCTCCCTCTCGGCTTCACCATGCACTAGTACATAAAAGGGCAAAGGCACCGGTTGTTTTATACCTTTAGCATCAGTTTTGTACCAATGTAAATACAAGCGATGCAATTGGTCCAATTCAATTGCATCACTTTGGAAACAACCGATGCCTTTGCTATTTTATTAATTTAAAAAAAAAGAGTATTAGCATCGGTTGTTTCTAAACAACCGATACCTTTGCTATTTTATTAATTTAAAAAAAGAGTATTAGCATCGGTTGTTTCTAAACAACCGATGCCTTTGCTATTTTATTAATTTAAAAAAAGAGTGAAGTATGTAAAAAAGTAGCCATAACAATACATTGCGGGCACATAACTATACACTATGGGCATGCTTCAAAAGTACATTAGCAATTAAATTAATTATTAGGAGTATCTCAACATTCACTTCAAGTGATGTGAATGCTATAGTGTATTATGAAGTATGTCACAACAGAAGCTCTCATGGTGCCCAATCTCACAAACACAGAAGTTTCTGCAGTTATACTCATATCGGGACCTTAGGACCCTCTCAATCGTTCAGTACATAGGCAATATATAGCGGATTAAGTGAAGAAATACCTTTTGCTTCCAAGCGGGAAGAGTGCACAATTGCCCGGATTCTTCAGTGACGGCCTTCTTCTTCCGGCTGGTGGCGTCCTCCCTCTCTACCGGCTTGTGAACCAAATCTAAACACCCAAAAGGCTGTAAAATATATGCCTCCTTTCCAAACAAATCCTTTTTTACTATTCACAAATATACACATTCCACTCAACAACTTAAAATTTTCAACAAATTTCGAATGGAATTGAAAAAGGAAGGGGAAGAAAATCACGCTTTAGATGGTTCTGACCAATGGATTGGAACCGTGAGCTCTTCATCGCCTTCTGGTTCCTGGTACCCGTTGCTCTTCACGCTCGAAATTGAGAATGATCCACAAAGATTTCTCCGATTCAGATCTAGGGTTAGATCGTAACATCAACACTACCGATGGTGACAGCATCGTTAGCGAGCATGAGGATGATGACGGCTAGATCGCAGGCCAGCACGGGGATGGTGACGGTCGTTGGCGAGCATATAGATAGTTATATTGCGGAGTGGAAAAAAGATACAGAGAGTTTTGTGTTATGTATGGAATAAAACAGATGCATAAACACTATAGAATCGGTTATACACTAGAACCGATGTCTTTGATTAAAAAACAAAAAAAAATAAAAATAGGCATTAGCACCGGTTATTTAAATTAACAGATGCGATTGATCAATTGCATCAGTTGTTTTAAATAACCGATGTTAATGCCTTTTTTTAATTTTCAAAATTTAAAATTGATGCCAATGACATCGGTTCTTTGAAATAACTGATGCTTTTGAACTTTTGCATCAGTTGTTTTAATAACCGATGCAATTGAGGTAGTTCATTTGCCTATTTTTGTAGTAGTGATGTCAGAATCCACACAACCGGGAAGTCCACTGCTACTTCTTCAACCTCCCCGCACCTTGCGTTCACCACTATCTCCAATGTCAAGCTTCACGTTCCCATTCAACTGAGTTTCTCTCAACCCAACTACAAAAAATGGAGCCGACTCTTTTTGCTCCTGGTTCGACGATTCAATCTTCAAGGTCTCCTCTCCGGATCTCACGTCCCTTCCTCTGACGACGACGATGAATGGTTCCAACTTGATGCCCTCATTAAAGGATGGATCCTTTCTACAATCACTGAAGAAGTTTCTGATCTAGTTATCTCTTCAGCTCCTACTGCATCTCAAGTTGGTGAATCATTCATGTTCTCTTTCATGACAAAAAACACGTCCAGGCTATGCAACTTGAACATCAATTCCGCACCACCACCAAAGGCATCACACCCATGGCCACTTACTGTTAAAATCTCACAATATAGCTTATTGGTTAGACGACGTCGATGCCCCTGTATTCAAATCACAACTTGTCCTTCAGATGTTACGTGGACTGCCGACGGACTTGCAGGCCCAAACTTCTTTCTTGCAGTTTCAAGATCCTCTGCCGACGTTTCTTTAAGCGCGGCCTGCCCTCATGCTACAAGATCGAAAACGAAATTCCTCCCTAGATGGTGATGACACGGCCCTGCTCTCCTCTCGATCGGCAATCCTGCTCGGCTTGTCCTGAAGTAGTGGAAGTGGCGGACGGACCTAGCCCGGCAGTGGTAGTCCGTTGGTAGGGCAGAGCAGTGGGAATGGTCGAGGCAGTTCTAGTTGAGGCAGCAATCACGGAGGTACATGTAGTCAAGGACGTGGTCGACACTCTAGATCAAACCCCCACCCACCCTATGACGGCTTTGCACATTAGAACTCATTATACTCAAACCCCAGCCCTGGGCCACCGGGCCCACGGCCCAATGCACCACCTTACCCATACCCTGCCCAGGCATATACCACCCAAAATGCACCATCCAACCCATATCTCCCCTACCCATACCACCCCTACCACGGCCACGACCACTACTCTCAAATAGGCCTGGACACGGTACCAGTGCAGTACCGTCACCGGCGCCGGTACCGCGGGTACCGAGTACCGTCACCGTCACCGGAGACGACCAATCGGTTCCTGGAACCGGTACCGGTACCGCCTCAACTGGTACCGTGTCCGATTCCCAATTTTCATCACCGGCACCGCCGGTACCGATACTGGTGCCGGTTTAATTTTTTTTCTTTTTCTTGCTCCTGCCAAC